GAGAGAGAGAGAGAGAAGAGTTCTACCATAACCAGTTGGTTTTGTGAATTAGAGTTTGACATGCTAGAGAGGAGTTCAATGCTATTTCGAGCAACAACCAAAATCTCCTTCCTTTCTTCTGATGAAAGATTGTGGCCATGATAGGTAAAGGCATCATGACCTGGCCTTCGTGGATCTGTGTTTCCATTTGCATTACTAGCAGGAAGAGAAGACGGTTGTTCATGACCAAATGGCTCCATAGGAGAAAAGAATGGCTCTAAACTTTCTCCCTCTTGTCCTGGAAATCTGATCCCTCTTCCCTTTAAAATCTGTCAAGATTACAATCCAATAAAAGGTTATTGAGATGCATTGTCCCAGTTATTGCAGGTTTAGTACAATTTTAAGATTTCAGTTTTTAGATTTCAAAGGACCAAAAAAAGAAAATGATTTTCTTCAAAGTTAAGTTCATAGTTAGAAAATATCAAATCTACAGCTAAAATATAACCTACAACACATCATTTGTCTAATTTAAGGTCATTTTTCTCAATCGAGTAATACATTTTAAATTTTTCTTTTTTTTAATTCATTTCTCCATCAAACCAACCTTTTTTCTTTTTACTCATTTCTCCATCAAAAGCCAGCCATGTCATCATCCTTAATCAAGCCCCTAAAAGGGTCAAGGTATTCCAAATTTCTTAAATCTATAAAAAATAAAAATTAAAAATTAAATTCTTGATTACCAAACTTGGTGTATGATGATGGCTAGAATCAAAGTTGATCAAAGTAAATCTTGAACTGTGTTGATATAAAGTTATATCCTAAATCATGCACAACTGTCGAGGCTTAGGCTTAGATATAGACCTCACTGTTTGGGTGATGGAGGTCATGGGTTCAAACTTCAAACCCTCGAAATCTGTCCTAAAATGCTCAACTGTACTGCACTAACTTTTTTAATAGTAAATACAAAGCATCAAAGCTGTGAAATTATGCCTTTATTTTGAAAACACAGCATCAGTTTCTAATTTATACTCAGGCCCTCTATGATCTTCAGTTTCATCTGTTCATTGTTCATTCTTGGGCTATTTGTAATAGCAAGGTACAATACAATGACAAAGATTACGGCCAAACCCTGGTCCATTAGGGTCATGACCATCCGAGAGGTGAGACCTGCTCTTTCTCTATCACTGTCCACCATTTCAAGGGGCAGTGATGACCCAATGGACAACCGGTGAAACACAATCCATTGGATTGTAACATACTTTCTCATTCTAAATTCCTTCTTTAGTTTCTCCTCTGAGATCACTACTTGTGTTGTGCCTTTCAATTGTGATGAACAAATTTGCCAGCTATCTTTGGCTTGTTTTATACAAATTGGGGGCTTTGATTGAACATATATATTTGAGGAAGAGTAAGCCATAAGATGGTGCTTCCTTAATACGGTATTTGACTCTTTAGTGATGTATGTTCTGCAATGAAGGCATCAGGATTTGACGACCAAGAGTCGTTAGATGTACCTATAATGAGTATCTGGAGCTCTAGTTCTAAACTCACCTCACAGGTTTAGGTTATTTTTATACCTATGATGAGTAGATCTAGTCCAACATAGTTTAGATAAGGTCATATCCCTACCTATAGGAGAAGAACAAGGGCTACCAAAACGTGAGATCCACACCAACACAATTCTTGCAAATGATTCTCTCACTAAAGTCAAGTACTTGTTCATTATTTATTGGTTTTCTGTTTGTGCTATTTTGCTTCTGCTAATCAGTTACCCTTGGATGCAAAATCCTTAACAGCGTATTAGTATGTTAATTATTTATTAGTGACTCTATTCATGGTATCTTGCTTCTGCTTATCGGTTTTTATCCTGATCTATGATCATTAACAGCCCCGTAAAATTAAGTTTGGAAAAAGTTGAGCTGACCTAAGGTTGGACCTACCAAAAAGCAACAGAAACCAAGAGAAGTTGAGAGACCTTAGTCTATAGTCGTCAAAATTAAACCAAAAAACATGTAACAGGTTGTGAATAATCATGTACATAGCAACTTAAGTGGAAACATGGCCTGATTCAAAGAAAAGATAATCTCACAATCATTTCTTAGTCACTGTTATAGCTTATAAGTTGAAAACCCATACCCCTAAAGAAGGCCACTAAGTTGAAAAATTAAAGAAATTCATGTTAGCAGCATCACAAAATGTATAAGTAACCCCCTAAACCTTACTTTCTCAGGGGATCGCAATAATAGGCAGATTAAATTAGATAGAGATACTATATGTCAATTGTTTTGTATGTGCAATGACAAATAACCTTATATGGCAACCAACCATTTCAGCCTATCTCCTTTTCTTTAAACTCAACATAGATATCTTTTCTATGCATTCCTTTTCACAAACTATAATACAAAAACAAGCTAAACTCATCAACATCGAATGTAAACAGAACATGAGGATTTCAAAATCTCAGGTAAATGAACAAACAAACATGCAATATTATGCAAAGTATAAACAAAGTATCTGTCATTTGGGGAAGCACATCATACCAGCAAAAATAGAGAGAAAAGTTTTAACTCATCAGAAAAGTGAGAGAGAGGTCAATGGGCAGGCGTACCATGTATGTTTGGTGAAACACAGGCAAATAGCCAAGCTCCTCAGATGACTCCCCCCATGCTCTAATCAACTGTAAAGCCTTCTGCCTATTAGAGAAATGGGTTTGCGAGTTATCAATCATTCTCACCATCTCATCCAACACTTTCTCAGAAGCTATCTCAGAGAACACTTTATCACAGTTCATAGCACAGGCCTCCAAAAGATCAAGGCTATGCCTCTGGCTCACCACATTTTTCCCCATTATTTTCTTCTTTATAGCCCTCACTACATCTTGCCCACTAAGCTCTTCCCCATTAAGAAGAGAACAAATTCTTAGATTTATGGACCAGTTAGGCTCCTCTAAATGATCAGAAGTGGCTTCATCCACCATTTTTCCAGCTAGTGTTGGACCTTGCAAGATTTCCTTCACTTTTCCACTCACTTTTCTCCAGTTCTGTGCACCTCCAGTTCTCAGACGCTCTCCCCATGTATTAAGCTTCAATCTATCCATCTTTTAACTATGGTTTAGTACCCAGCTTCACCGAAGCTGCCAATCAATCTTCTCTAAAACCCAATCTCAACTCTATGAAATTCTAATTCGACCTTTTCCGAAGTTCAAATTCGATCTTTCACAAATACAGAGTATAAACTTAATTAATCTTTACAGACAAGTATTGAACGAAACCCTCGTTTAAACTTGTTTGAAAGCCTAATTAAGACCTCAAAGGCAAATTTTGATCATAGATAGAACCCAAATTGGATTGCCTCCAAATCCAAATTCCTCTTTGATGATCAGTAACATAAAACCAACTCTGCAATGTTTGTTGAACCTGGACTCAATCTAATCTTCCAAATGAATCCTAATTTAGCCCACTGCAAAAGCCAACAAGGCTCTGTTCCACAGAATCAATAAATTGATCGATTAAACACTCCAATTCTCTCTTCCTATCAATCCCTATTTTCTCTAATTTTTGCCTTCTCCTCAAATAGAGCACAATATTCCCACTATAACAACCTGAGCAAATCAGAATAAATAGTTAGATAAAACCAAAAAGGTAAAAACAGAAGAAAAACAAATTTTTGAACA